GGACTTCATGTTTTGTTAGTCTACTAGTGCAAGTTCTAAGAGGACAAGGAATATTTAAATTAATAAGCTAAATTGGCATTTGGATATGCCAGTGGGATATTCCATATGATATAACATCATGCTCAGTATATTAATGAGGGTCTCTTCCTCTTCTAGCTCTCTCGGACTTTCACTCAGGCTCTTGCTCTTCTGGGATTGCGGTTTCAGTTCGGGATTGTCGCTCCTCTGGCATCATTATCTGGGAACGGGCTGGACTTGATCGGTGGGTAGTGAGCAGTTGCACTGGGTTATCACTCATTTGCGTATCTTATTACTGTTATCATTATAACTACTATTTTAGTATTAGTTTTTGAGGGGGTTTTAAAGTTTTCTTTTATTTTTATTATTAAATTGTTTTTATCTCAACCTACAAGCTTCCTAATCCTTGCCCCTAATCATCTCCCCTATCCCTTGGGGGTGGAGGGGAAGTGGGTGAATGGCTGTGTTGGCTGCTAGCCAAGGGCTAGCCCAGTGAAACTATCACAGATACCATCTATGTATAAATGCTATTCTTTTGATACATAAGGAAAAGTAACAATCAGACAGATCTCGATGTTCCTATATTCTCAACAAAAAACTGTTTTCCTAATGACTAAAATGAGCATTTAGAGGCACCCTGCTGAGCAGAGCAAAGTGGTTCTCCCATCAGAGCTTGCTGGCTGTACTGCAGGTGCTGCAGCAAAGCAAACTCATTTGACTGGCCACATGGGAAGTGTGCCTTTATCCTGCTCAAATAAAGTTTCACGGAGGAAGCCAGGCATAGACTTCTATCCATTTTAATAAACAAATACTGCAGTGCTTCAGCCATATAGTGGAATAACTTTTAGCTAGAAGTGGAAGAATCAGCTTCACTAGATTAGCATTCCTTTTCATAAGCATCTTTTGGGCTTGTTTGTGTTTATAATTACTATTATCTTTCATTTCTTCTGCAGATGTAGATAGTTATGTGATTGGGGTCTCATTGTTCCATGAGTTGCCTGAAGATGGAGAGAAACAAATCTTGGCTGGAAGATGTCATGGTTAGCGTGGCCAAGGGGCACTAAAGGGGGCAGAGGCATCAGAGGCACACGGTGGCGAATTGCCACAGGGTAGCTGCAGGAACAGGACAGCTGCAGGAACAGGGCACTAGGCTCACTTTTACACTGTGACAAGGCTCCCTTTCCCAAACAGCCTCTTTTCCTGTTATTCTACCAGCTCTTGTCATAGATAACAATTTTAGAAGTTTTTTAAGAAGTGTTTAAAGCGGTGAAACTTAGTGTTAAAAGTATTAGCTGGGATTAGTATATTCCTGCTGGAAGGAGGTGTGGGTCTGACTGATGGGTTTAGGTTTATGTATTAAACACATATAATACGAATAGTTAAGAAGTATATTTGAGAGGAAAGTGAATGAAGCAATTCTGTTTTCTTGGAAGACAGAATTTGTTGGAAATGTTTTGGTGATCAGATTAAAACTTCTCAGTTTCCACACTGACATGAAAGTAAGTAATGGATTTAGGAAGGGGCAGAGGAACACAACTGCCTCCCACAGGTTATTTACATAGGAACATACATACCTTAATGAAAGCTTTCTTTTCAGGAGGAAATTTTTTCACAATACCGTTCTATCATGTTATATATAGCCCCTAATGTGGAATTAGGAAGTGTGACATTTATTCAGATGAAGGTAGGCAGGCAGCCCATTTTAAACAGACATCTTTTCCCTTGTGACTCCCAGGAAACCTTTAAATAATTTTAATTCTTCCCTTCATGTTAAAGGCTCATTATCTTTTATAGAAATTCTTTAGAAGTCTTCTCATTCCAAGCACCAGGAGCCATTTTTCAAGACAACATTAGATTCCTTATTCCAGATCTCTCTCATAATTTTCTAATATTGTATGTCCTGGTGAATAACAAATTTGAGAACTACTTATCCTTGGTTCAGAAGAAGAGAAAAAAAATCACTGATCATTATTTTTATGTCTACTTCTTGAAAAGAAAGGGAGAAGGATAATAGCTGCTAAGCAAAGATTCTCTGCTTTCACAGCTGCCATTCTAGCACTGTGGTTCCTGATGCAGCATCAACTCTGGCAGCTCTTTCTTTTCACATTTCTATTAGTATTCCTAAAGTCTCTTTCTTTTCCTCTCAGCTTTTTTCTTTGCACTCCTTACTCATACAATCTCCCTTGAACCAAGAAGTCAGACCAGCTTCTCTGACATTAAGGTGTCACGCAAAAAACAGTGAGGCACTAAATAAATGTGTATCTGGGAGTACTACCATTTTCTTCTTAGCATTTTGAGTCTTGTTAAGCAAGCCCAGTTGGTTTATAGCTTGAGATGCCTTTTTCTTGAGAAAAAGTCTGTCCATTTTAGAGGTAGCAAGTCATGGAAGTATATTAGATCAATGATTATTCTGCCGACTCCTAAACTAGCAAAACAAAAATTTGTCTACCCTCTTTTAATATCAAAGGTCAATAGCTTTTCTGTTTACATACAGGTGACACTGGAAATTCTAGAAGAGTAAAACATCCACTCCCATTTATGAGATTTGCCATAGGATCTATGAAAGACAAAAATTTATCCAGCAATGTTACTAACAGAGTAGGTGGAAACTTTCATCAAAAATTGAGAAGAACCACCTGGGCATAAGAGGGTTTTTTTCGGAGTGATGCTATCAATGGTTAGCATCTGCATACATGAGGTATCTGTGGTACAAGAGATAGTTAAGAAGTGAAGGAGGCAGCTGTAAATAATTGCTGCCCTCTCTTTCTGAGAGGCGGTCTAGCTTCACAATCAGTGACTAAAACCATGTAAGCCCCTCTACTTTTTGATCAGGTGATTTGAGTTACTGCTCACAGACGACCCATATATAGACTGAAGGAAGGTGGGAAGCCAATTTGTCACAGGGAAACCACAACAGGATGTACTGATGCTAATCTTTGGTTATGTTTTGGAAGGCTGTTTCTTACCAACTTTGTCACCCAGAAACAACTTTCTGGGCCAGGTCTCAACTCTGAGTAAAGAAGGCATTTAGGGTGACCTTGTGGAGCAGGATCAACTGATTAAGAACACTGTGAATAAAGCCCAAGGTTTTTATCTAGTAGTAGGGCTACACCTGAGGACTAGGGTCCAGAAATAGGGTTGTACGGGAGAGGGAAAAGGAGCCAGAGCAACCACAGAGAAAAATAAAAAAAATAATTACAAGGTACAGTACTAGAGAGAATAAGGCAGGTCCAGGACCTCACTTCGGATTCACTCCACCTGACCAGGTGCAAGTATTATGTGACATGACCACACAACCAGAGCAAAGAATCCAGATATACCTGAAGTCCACCATGGCACACTTCCCCAAAGCAGCTTGTCCTTAATGTGTGCTTGATTAAAGCTAAAGCTAAGCCTCTTCTACACATGCACCAATATGCTAACAGTGTTTGCTCTAAAAACCATGCTGGGAGCAGTACGTGTGTTAGTGTGGATGTGTGAGGGTGTACAGACATGCTTGCCTGCTATCTCAGAGCTGGAGGGGTTTTCATTAGATTCAAACAGTAACTGACTCTCCAGGGAAGCTCCTGCTTTTATTTGATAAGGGATGCTCTTTTATCACACATGAAACTGCATGCAGAGATCAGACAGGCAATGTGCATAGCTGCCAACCAGAGAAAAGCTGTCTTTCTCTAGCATATTACAGCAATGCATTGCTTCTACAGTTGAAGATTGGCCCCAAAATGGCCAGTTATGGAAACCACAGAAGTTGGAACTTCTACTGATCCACAGAAAGAGTATGCAATTAATATAACTGCTTGAGAGGTAGGGATCATGTTATTCTTCAGAAGATGAAGCCAGTATGGTAAATAAGAGAGGAGAGGACATCTGAGGTAACA